TTTCATGCGGGGGGGGGGAATATGCTTTGCAGTAAAAACAGGAGGTATTTAATTCTACCATTTGGGCTAATCATACACTGAAGTGACAAAAGTCATGGGATACCTCCTAATATTTTGTCGGTCCTCCTTTTGCCCGGCGAAGTGCAGCAACTCGACGTGGCATGGACTCAACAAGTCGTTGGAAGTCTCCTGCAGGAATATTGAGCCATGCTGCCTCTATAGACGTCCATAATTGTGAAAGTGTTGACGGTGCAGGGTTTTGGGCACGAACTGACTTCTCGATGATGTCCCATAAATATTCGATGGGATTCATGTCGGGCGATCTAGGTGGCCAGATCATTCGCTGGAATTGTTCAAAGTGTTCTTCTAACCAATCGCGAACAATTGTGGCCCGGTGACATGGCGCATTGTCATCCATAAAAATCCCATCGTTGTTTGAGTACGGGAAGTCCATGAATGGCTGTAAGTGATCTCCAAGTAGCTGAAGGTATCCATTTCCAGTCAATGATCGGTTCAGTTGCACCAGAGGACCGAGTCTATGCCATGTAAAAACAGCCCAGACCATTATGGAACCACCACCAGCTTGAACCGTGCCTTGTGACAACTTGGGTCCATGGCTTCGTGGGGTCTGCGCCACACTCGAAACCCTACCATCAGCTCTTACCACTGAAATCGTGACTCATTTGACCAAGCCACGGTTTTCCATTCGTTTAGGGACCAACCGATATGCTCACGAGCCCACGATAGTCGCTGCAGGCGATGTCATGCTGTCAGTAAAGGCATCTCGAGTCGGTCTTCTGCTGGCATAGCCCAAAGGAAACAAAATTTCGCCGCACTGTCCTATCGGACACGTCCCTCGTACATCCCACATTTATATCTGCGGTTATTTGACGCAGTGTTGCTTGTCTGTGAACATTGACAACTCTACGCAGACGTCGCTGGTCTCGGTCGTTAAGTGCAGGTGGTTGGCCACTGCGCTGTCCATGGTGGGATGTTATGCCTGAAATTAGATACTATCGGCACACTCTTGACACTGTGGATCTCGGAATGTTGAATTCCCTGACGATATCCGAAATGGAATGACCCATGCGTCTAGCTCCAACTACCATTCCGCGTTCAAAGTCTGTTAATTCTCTTCGTGCGGCCATAATCACGTCAAAGCCTCTTCACATGAATAACTTGAACACAAATGAAAGCCCTGCCAAAGCACTTCGCATTTATACATTTTCTGTGCGATACTACTGCCATATGTATATTTGCATATTGCTATCCCATGACTTTTGTCACTTCAGTGTATGTTAAGTATTGGAGTACACTAAGTATACTCGGGCGAATCACTGCATAATGGTTTTCATAACCGTAGGTAATTCAGGCGAATCAGAGAAAAGATTAAGTTGAGAGTTTTGAATCTTAAAGAAAGAGAGAGAGTTTCTGGCCCCCGTACCGTGTTTTTAGTGTTTGCCATCTATATCTAAATGTAATTACCTCGGCTTTTACATTCTCTCTCATCCGATAGCTTTAAACTTACGCACTAGTTAAATGAGTCAGGTTATAGCTTTTTTATTTCACTGTGTAGTCCTAGACTACTTTACTATCAACTTTTAAATTAGTGTCTCTTACTGTTTAATTTACATTGGCCCCAAGTAGTGGTTTATCTATAGCACGAGCTATGCCTTTTCTCTTAAAAGTTCAAATCAAATAAAGAAGGTTATTTTAACCTTCGCAAGTCTCTGTCATGCTATTTTCCAACGTAGCGATAACTCGTTAGTTACCTTGCAGGACTCAATTTCAAGTACCAGCTCAATTGCAACCTTATAATTTCTATTCGAGTCTGTTGCCATTCGAAAAGCGTAAGATATTATTCTTTCAGATTTGATCTGTCAGTTATTAATTAGCAAACTACACTATTTAAAAGCAGTAGATTCAGTTCTTAAGAATATACTTTTTAAATTTTGAATCTGTTTTGATTTAAATAAAAATGCATTTATTTCATGATACATGTAATTAAAAGTTTTATTATATATATTACCGAATTAAATATTTTTACCGAATTACCTTACATATTTTTCCATTTCTTAAATATACAGAAGATATATATATATATAGCGTATCCATGTTAGTCTAAATGTATATTTATCTAGTATCCTATTAGTGGTTCGTAATTCGACCCGAGCCTCTCTATCGATAAACTATACAGATAAACCATATTTAACTTAAAAAGTGCTCTTTTGGCTGATAGTTAAAATCTAGACCTTTTCAGACTTTTTAATCTATTATTATTTTTAATATTTTGCTGTAAGATCTGTTTATTTATTTATTTATTTATTTTGATGCGGGAATTGTAAAATTTGTAGGATGCTTGGTTTGATCAATGTTATAATAAACTCACTGACCAAAATGCTATAAATTTCTCGGGCACTTAAATCAAAATTAAGGGCTTTGAAGACCATAATGCGGACTTGATCAGTAGATAAAAATGACACCAAAGCATTCAAAATGTACGCAGCTTTGTGAGCGAGAAAAGGAAATAATTTGTTCGGGGTGGAAGAAGAGTTTTTTATTTGAAGAGGGAAAATTTTTTTAACCTCTTCATCAGGATGTGGATCGAAGCCTGCTTCAATAGAAAATCATTTTTGGGGGATCTGAATTCCTTAAAACAAAAAGAAATACAGCTATCTTTTTTATATTCAGTAAAATTTTTGTTTAGGATCCATCTTTAATTTATTCTTTTTATAACATGGAAGAAGATAAAGCGGGAAAGGTTTCTTGTCCGTTAGGTTACAGAAATTAGATATTGCTTTGCAGAGACATTAGGCACTTTTTTGGAAGCAGGAAAAGTGAAAAATGAGCAACGCATTCGCCGTGAATCGAACCACGGACCTCTGGAATACGCGCCCAGCGTGCTGACCACTGTACTACGAAGGCATGCTAATAAGGCGGGAGAAATATCTTATAGCTGATACTGCTTATTCTTCTGGATTCGAAAGGATTTTGACCAAATCCTTGATTCCATCATAACCAACAGAAAGGAGTGCGTCTGTTTTGGCCATTGATTTGGGCAACTTATAAGTGACTGTATGAGTTTATCCAGCTCCGTCTCACTTTTAACGGAGAATATCCCAGGGAGGAGGGGACATACATTATTTTAATAGTGGACACCAAGATCAAAAGATCTCGCACTCCGATTTCTCACCAACCTCCTGAGTGGACTTAGATGATTTTTAAAAGCCCCCTTCCCCCATGCTGCAAAACGAAATTCCATGCCTTCTCTGGGATTCGAGCTTTGGACCAATAATATGGTAGCCATCACCGCTAGCCACTATATCGAATACAGTGACAGAAATTAGGTTCATTGATTCATTGAATATAATTTAGATACCAAGGAGAAAAGGGAATTATGTGGTATTAATTCATATTTAAACTAAATGGCGGGATCATTTCACTTCATTGGCTATTAAAATCTTAGTCGTATATTCTCTTTCCCAGATCGTCTTTGTTCCTTATTTTCTATATGATTGTACAGAGGCTGTTCGCACATTTTTTAGACGATGTATATTGTATTCACAAAACTAAATTACATAAAATTCTTGTGTTTTAAATGTTCTATTTGACATCCCTTATTCTGAACTATCTTTCGACACCGCAATTTCCAGGATAATAATGCCTTTGAAGTGGCAGAAGCGATATTCCATCCCATTCCTCCCGAACAGCTTTCCAGACTCCTGTTAGGGTTTGGGGAAAACGTTTCGATAATGCAGTTTTTAAAAGTCCGAAAGCAAAAAAATCCATAGGTGACACATCGGGAGATTTAGTAGGGATATCGGTGAAGGGTATGGCCTTGATACCAGTTTTTTGTTCCATTTCTTTTAGAAAATTACAGTGGATTTTGATGTGTGACTGCTAGCTTTGTCCTGATGGAGTCTCACAGATTGAATGGCACTGTGGGTAAAGCGATGGTATTTCATTCAGAAAAATTGGCGATAAAATATGTTCTTGAATAGTATTGGAGTTATCAATTTTTTGCACTCTCTTTATTTTAACTTGCCATTATAGAAAAAACCAGCAATAATCATGAATCCCTTAGAAAAACTTCTCGATTTTTTGAACCATTACTTAATTTTTTTCTCCCTTTTATGATACTAAATTGCTCTTTTTTTGTTACAATCTTTTAAATACACCCATGCTTCATATATTGTGACAAGTGTTTTCCATTTTTCTTTGGATAAGTGTTTCTCATATAGAATTCTGCAGCGTGTCTTACGTTGAGCGATATGCTTTGGAAGAAGACGATGCATATTGCGTTTTTTCGCTTTCTTAAGATTTTAATCAACGTTTATCATTTTGTTTACAGTGGACATCGAGCATTTTAATGATTTGCAACTTTATTGACTAGGGATTTCTTTAACATTAAACAACGTACCTTTGCAATAGTCGATGATATCCGTTTTTTCCTTGGATACTTGTTTGGATTTTTGTCCAACTTGAGGCTCCAATTTGACGTTTTTTTCCTTTCTTGTTGAGATATATCTATCGACGCTTTAGATCACAAAACCATGATTCCTCACATCGTTTTTGGATAACGGAGTATGCATATTTCTCTTTCAGAAAGAGCGTAAATGTAGCCTTCGAACCACTGCTTTGTTAAATTCGCCATTTTGAATAAAAACAAACTTTCAAGCCACAGACAATAATTTTGACTTTAGAAACATAGTACAATTGTAATTACTTCTTTTGCAGCAAACGAATTTTTATTACCGCTTACCAAAATCGTCTAAAAAATGTGCGAACAGCCTCTGTATATGAGAAATGAATATAATTCGACTTGTAAAACCTGTTCAGTCTTATACTTTATGAATTGTTACATAACCATGTTGCTTTTTTACTTACCATTAAATGAGTAAAGGTTTTGTATGTACAAATACTATATACTGTAGCCTCAAAAATATATTATATTTTGCAAAATTCTTTCACTAATGTTGACATGTTTTTTTTAAATTCAGACCGATTTGGACAAAGATTTAGTCGGTGACGCTTGTGACAATAATTTAGACAAGTAAGTATAAAATTTTATATATAGTTGTGCATTTTTGTTAACTATGGCAACGCATTGTGAATGCTTAAGCATTTTAAGATTATACTGTACATATATTATATACTATATATTTTATACAGCGAAGTGTTCAAGAAAATAAGTCTACAATAAGAATACATATTTGTAGTGACACAATTATTTTCTAGGATCAGATTTTCAAACTAGAATTTTGCTGAAAATCTTTTGTTGTAGAGTTTGCGTGTATGATTAAAGGCAGAGTTAAAAACGATACCAAAACTGGAATATAATCAATAAAAGTCATAAATGCAAAGCAAACTGCAAAATATGAACAAAATTAATTATAGCTGCATTTAAATATATTTCTTATTAAATAAAAGCACTGTACAAAATTTATTTATTCATTTTATTCAATATTTGCTCATGTTTTGTTACAATATTAATCAAACACTTTAAATTTGTAACATTTTGTAAAGTAGAGTAATGCCATTAACTTCTTAAATTGAATGTCATTAGTATTCGATTTAATTCGACGTATGCTTTTATGCTGAATAACAGATTAAAATAAGAAAAATTACCAAAGTTTTGGTAATGGGAAGCTTTTAAACTTTATTCAAGTACACAGTTTTCGAACAATGTGTGAAATTTTTTTTTTTTTCCTGTTCCAACCAGGAATGATAATTTAAGTTAAAAAATCATATTACTTATATATAAAACAAACAAATTTTAAAGCTAAAACTTTGAAATATTAAGAAAACATATTATTTAAAATTATAAGCGAATTAAATGCAATTAATATATTAATAACGCAATTAATATACCGGTTACTATCAACCCATAGGTCAACTCTGAACACCGGCCATAATAGTCACCATTGATTTAATTTTTACTTTAATAATTTGTTTGTCTAATGTAATTTTTAACGCATTCACTTTATAGTTATTAATTTTTATGAACCTTTGCTACATTACTTTAATTAATGAAATTATGTTCATATTTTAATATGTCCTACATTATGTACTTGATAGAGAATCAATTTTTAAATATTTATAGAGGTAAACAAAGAACCAATATGTAAAAACTGTAAGTTATAAAAGATGTTTCTAACGCTATATACGATCTAACTCTATTTACGATCTATCTCCTCAGTCTCTCGTGTGTTAAGTACGCAATGCAACAAATGCGCTGACAGATTTTTAAAAGTGTTGCAGCACTTATAAAATAATAATAATACTACAATTTTATATGCGAAATGGCAGCATTTTATATACAAAGCTTTCAGAGAAAAAATAAATAGGATATATCATAACAAACAGGAAAAACTAATCGTTTTAAATAACAGAAAGTGTTAATTGAGTTTTTTTCTCTCGCACTAGTGTTGTTATTTTAATTCTGTATCTATGTTCTACTATGTGCTTCGTACAGCATGTAAAGAATTATGTGAACTTTTAATTGATGCAGTTCTATTTTGCGTATAATAAAACTACTTATTTTAATGTCTCAAACTAATTACGAAATTTTTATAACTTTTTGTAGTCAAAAGTGGAGTTTAAAATAATATATTACGACATATTATCGATAACGTTACTTGAAAAATATGTGATTCCAAGCATGCAAGGTTTTATCCAAGCAGTAGTCTAAGCAGTTTTATCGTAAAGTATATATTTATAAGATATTTCTTACAGAAAATCAGAAATTTTATTTAAAGTTCATTCCTTCAGTTTCTATCTTGAGTTCTAAAAGGAAAAGCATCCATACGTATAAGAAAATAAGTTAGAAATAATTCTGCCTCAAGACGATATTAATTTAAATCCTTCTGCTAGGGCAGGATTTTTCTTCTGCGTTTAATTATTTTTTTAACAGAAAAACATAAATATTTGCTTGAATACATTATTGAATGCAAAAGGTTCTTTTTTTAACATAAAAGAATGTAAATATTGTTTCGCAGTTATAAAATTATTTATGAATTGAGTTTGAACCAAAGTAAAAGTAGTGAAAGTGCGTTTGTTTCTTTATTTATTTCATTTTGCGTAAATTTTTACGCAGATAGCATAGTAAAAGATCTCGTATTTTGTAGTGCGAAATATAAATATTGTATAAATATTAAATGGAACTTTAAAGCATTGAAATTTGGTTTACATTGAAATGCAAGATAGAGTATTCAAAAGACCTACAAGTATAATCTACAAGATATTTGTTATTTAAATTTTGATATTTAAATTCATTTATATATTAATTGATTTAAATTTTTAAAGCATAGTTAATTAATGAGCGTAGATATAAAAATAGTTTTTGACGTATAATTTTGTATCAATAAATATCAAAATGCTTAAAAAAATTCCAAATATCAATATTTATGGGTTACACCATTTTGCACCATTTTGTTTCTGTATCTCGCTTTTTTAACTGATATATAAAACTGGATCAGAATTGCTACTGAAAATGTTTATTAAATTTCTATTATCTTGTTCAAATTTTCAGTCGTTAATAAAATACTTTTTATTTATCCACTCAAGTTCAAACACATTTTTTTAAACTTGTAAAGGGATGACACTTGATATTAATACAGTTAAAAAATTTGTAAATTTTTAATATGTGAACAAAAATATTTTAAAAATGTTCGTTGTATTTTTTAAATTTTCTTTGTTGGGCCTAAGTAGCGATTGAAAATTTTATTTAATTATGATTCGTTAAATTAATAAATTATTTAATTAATTAATTTTCAATCGTTAATAAAATACTTTTTATTCATTCATTCAAGTTCAAATACATTTTTTTTAAACTTGTAGTGGATGACACTTGATGTTAATACAGTTTCTTCACATATTACAAAATTTTTATTAAAACATTTTTTTTTCTTGTATTTTAAAAATTTTTGTTGTATTAAAAAAAAAAAAAATTGTTGACCCTAAGTAGGAATTAATTATTTTTTTATTATTGTTTTGTTTTTTTTTTTTTTTTTTTTGATGATCTTGTATCTTCACTGCGTATAGTATTTATATTGCAATTTTTATCTCTGACATGGGAGAGCTTTATGTTTTTACCGTGCTACTAAGACATCTTCTATTTCTAAAATTACTCAGAATTCTGGGCTATGTATTAATTTATTAAAAATTAAATTTATCTTTTTCCCCTTTTAAACTACTTAGAGATTTCGAAAAAAAAATAAGTATTTGGGCGTGAATTATATTTCTGTTTTGAAATTCTGACTCTAAAATGATAACATTAAGAATTATTCCATAGGAATAAATAAATTAAATAATGTATTTGCATTCTTATGGCTTGAGGAAAACGAAATGTCATTTGCTTTTGAAAATTCCATACTATATATTTCATTATTTTTTTTTTCAATTTGTGTAAATACTTTATACATTAGTATAAATAATATAGTATTAGTTCAATATATTAGTATAAATATTGTATAAATATCAAATGGAACTTTAAAGCATTGAAATTTGATTTACATTGAAATGCAAAATAGGGTATTCAGAAGACCCATAAGTACAGTAATCTAAACCATAAAATAATATTAAAAGGGATAAAATTATACGAAATTTTGGTGAATGTTACTTTTTCATTTCGGCATTAAAATGCTTTCGAAATGCTACAGAGTAAATATCGTCGATTTTATGGTTCACTATAAATTCTTTTCTCCATCGTAGCGACTTTGATGGCATCCAGAATAATGTAGACAATTGTCCCGAAATTCCTAACAGCGATCAACTTGACACAGATGGCGATGGAAAAGGTGAAATATATCTTGAAAACTTTTGCTCTTTTAACAAATGTGAGATGTACTTTTAACTGAACATCTATAAATTTCCTCTCCAGGCGATGTCTGTGACAATGATAAAGATAATGATGGATGGATAGACAGCGATGATAACTGCCCTTTGGTTTATAATCCAGATCAGAAAGATACCAATCGTAAGTTTAATTTAGATATTTATTGAATTTATTTTGTAAACTTTAATAGTTATATTTTGAAATGTAACTAAGTTTTTAAGTCTCAACGATTTACTCTAATTAGTGAGATTTTCAATTAAAAATTTTCTACTGAGGAAAGTAATTTAGATAATATGTTTAAGTTGCTTGTTAATTTAATTCCAAAGTAATAATTGCGCTATTTACAGTATAATTATATAATGTGTAATTTAATTAAAACGTAATTTATGTCCTGTTTTAGCTCAAAATCTATTACTCTTTTTATTTTTAAACACGCCATTACTGTTGAAAGTTTAGTTTATCCGTTGATACCACGTTAAGTCATATATCAAAAGAATGCCAGTCTTTAATTAATTATGATTAATTCAATACAAAATTTGTACGTTATGTAGTCCTTTGAGCTTTCTGATGTGTGGATAGCAAACATGAGCTTGACATTTTGCTTAATTAAATCGTCCTATTGTTTCGTCTCGTTTGAAGTTGTATCTATATATCAAGAAATGAAATTCTTGTTATTTTGGGCAAGCTAAATTTAAGGTGAAGTACCCATTCGAACCCCACAAAGTTAAATCAAGTAATCAGAGTAAGTTTCAGAGCCATTCCTACTATTCGAAGTAACTATTTTCTTTTCTCACTTTCGTTTTAGGTAGGAGAATGACTCAATAAAACTCTGGCCAGAAGCCTTGTCAGCTTCACGCCACTCCTTGCCAGTCCGATCCCAAAAAGACTGGCTTTCTGAATTTTCTGGAGATAGGAGGAAGAGTGGTCGAACGTTCGTTGTTCATCGCGCTGCCCGCTTGAAGAAAGCTTAACTAGGAACAAGGGCCACCCAATTGGGATAGTGGTTAGAGTGACTTTGACTACTGCACCGAAACACGCCGGGTTCGAATTCTGGAGAAGGCACGGATGCTTGCAAATGTATGGTATGGTTGCGGTATGGAGCACTTTAAATATATGGCGAGCCGAATGTTCTCTCGTAAGGTTTGTGGCAGCGGAGAGGGGTTTGAGACCGTCGGACCCATTTCCCGGGGTGCTTTCTCTCAAAATCATACTCTCACCTATATGGTGCCCAAGACTCTTGCCAACGAAAGGCGTGACTTTGTATTCCTTAATCTGATAAATTTTGTGAGCTTGTTTTGATGATGAAGTCAGACAAGTGAGATTAGTGTCACAGCAACGCGCAGCATAGGAACAAGATTCGTGACCACATTTCCTCTTGAAACGAGGCTTCCAGAATGCATATCTCAACAAATGCTATAAGCGACTCATGAGGGTGTAATATTAAAGAAAAGATGCACAGGTTAAAAATGAATATTCCCAGATTTTGATTTAGAACTGCAAATAAAGATTATCCATATTTTGGATTATGCAATAAAAGACTAACCGCAGCCTATCACTATTCTTCCTAACATGGTTTCGGGAAGATTAACCTTTTGAGGCCGGAGCTTTGGTAGCAGTAAAAGCTACCAAAGGAAAGGACAGGGGATTTTAACTCTTTCGCATCGAAGTCGCCCCAAACGCCCGAGCATTCAGACATCGGCTGGACGCCCGAAACGCCTGAATAATTTCCTACCCAATGCCTTCCCCCATCACGTTACGGCATTACTCATTGCTTCAGGTGTTCTTAAAATCACATATCATTCTTTTGAAGTAAAAAGTAGCTTCCTTGTTTCCTTTGTTCCTTCCTTTCCTTTGTTTCTGTCAGTTGCTCTTTGTTCGGCTTTTGAACCGAGTTTGCACCCGTCCAAGCGGAACTCACACCGGTCACAGCGTCGAAAAGAAGTTCTCGCTTTACTTAGAAGGCTAGTTAGCGCTATATTAACTGTCATGGGGGAAGGAAAAGCAGCCAGGAGAAATTCTAGGACGGGCGTTTTCGATTTTGGGAATTGAGATTTGCCCTCTCGATGGAAGAGGTAAACCAAATGCTTCCCCTTTAAGAAATCCCTCCTATTTGCAACAAATTCTTGTGGTAGTTAATGGATCTCAGAGGGGTGCATCTATGTCGCAAAAGGATTCCTTGAAAGAGGAAGTGGTTAAAACCCTAAGGACTCAAATTGACATTCCCCCACTTTCAGCCTGGATAATGGGGGGAAAAAGACATGGCCACTAAAGCGGACAACCCCGTCTTTTCAAAGAGAAAACTCCATGGCCACTATAATGGCCATTCCGTCTTCAAAAGGTTAAAGCAAATTTGAAGCCGGTTAAGAAAAGTTTCATAAAGAGATTTATATGCATCCATAGCAAGATTCATTGCCATGATAAACCAGGAAATATCCCAAGAAAATAACTCAGATATTCACAAGGAAACGAAACGACGTTCTTGTCTAGCGCCAAGTATGACATCTCTTATTTATTAGAAATACTAATGTCGAATTTCTATTATGTGTACCCTGCTGCAAAATGAGGAATGCGATGTCAATAGTTTCAAGAAAGAAAATTTGAGAGTTTTATTATCTAGATGTAAAAATAACATATGACTAACGTATAATAAAAAGAGATATGCAGCATAAAATTTCAGTTAATTTATAAAATTTCATTTAATATTTCAAGAGGTTTGCCGTTTTTGCTTTTAAAAATACGGTTTGATATACGCTTAGTGTCTCTTTGATGAGCCTCATTCAATATTTGGGCACATGACGGCGATTATTCGAATTACTTATTTTATTATATAGTGTGTATCTCACTAACTGAACTGGATTCATATTTAAAATTCTATATTTGTAATGAATCTTTCAATTTATAACGTATGAATCAATGATTAATGCTTCAAGAAATACAAAAATATGATTAACATCATCATTTATTCTCAGAATAATTGAGCCCGACTCTTTGATTTTACCAACAGGCACTGGAGTCGGTGATGCCTGCAGAACAGATTTTGATGGTGACGGTGTTCCTGATGACAAAGACGTCTGCCCAGACAACAGAATGGTATACGCTACCGATTTCAGAGCATATCAAACTGTGGTTCTAGATCCGGAAGGGGATTCTCAAATTGATCCTCATTGGGTAATTTATAATCAGGTATGGTTATTTACAATCAGGTATTGATTAAACAAATTACTCATTGAAAGATAAATTTTGTTTTATTTCAGAAGTTGAGACTGTCATACACGTTTCGCGAAAATTTGAAAACAGTTACGTTTGTTATAGTCTTGATCATGCAGAGTTCCTCACTTTGGAATTCTAAGTTAATGTTGGAAATGAAGAATCTAAGAACTGATAAGCGAATAATCGCTTGAGTTCGGTGGCAAGAAGCAACAAGATTGAAGTGTAACGAACCCTTTATTTTCCAAAGATTTACAAAACTCCGCCTGGAGTGTACAAGGAAGCCGCATTGGACTTGAACTTAAAAGACTAATTAATTAAACTAAAATTAACGAAGTAGCGAAGCTATCAAGGTTTCAAATCGAGTGGCCTCTTAACTTATTTGACTCCGAGCTTAGCAAGGGCCTGAGTACGGCGAGCGAAGACAGCTTTGAGAGGAGTGTCCAAAGGCAGAAGAGTGTAATCAGAAACTCTGATTCCTCTGCTCAGTAGTACTTCGTGGTTTAATACCGCTGCTCCTCATTAAATATTCAGCAAGATTCCAAAACTACGTTCTAGCCGGAAGTAGTAAGTTGAAGTTAAGAATTTGACATTAAAGGAAATTTAACTTGAAATTTAACTGATAATAAAATTAACATAATCCTTACAATCAATAATACCGTAGCTATGGTTTTATAAATTTTTAGCATGATATCACATGATTCGATATACTCATTATCTCGAAAGTGGTTGTAGCTGCTTGCGAACCAAGACTATTTCTTAATAAAGGATACCTTTGGTGGATGGAACTTTGACAGGAACTGATTTATGCTTAAGGTGGAAGGAGAAGCTGGAAGTTTCACAAAATACGTATATTCAGTACGTCTCATTGGAAATCAACATGTTCCTAGAAAACTGGGGATTTAATTTTGTCCTGCAAAATGTAGATTTTAAGTTTGAGGCTTTTTCAACATTTTTATTTCATTTAACAGAGCAATGCAGTGTACGCTTGCTTATCTATCATTCTTTTGATTAAGTTAAAATACTGTTTCAAATGACATCGTATCGTACTGACATGTAAACTTATGCAGAAAAAACATTTTCATTAGTAATTAAAGGGCATAAATCACAGAATAAAACTTTCTTCATGAACAATATGCTGGATAGTTTGTAAAACTTGATACATTTGTAGGGCTTCATACCGGGTTTTTATATATATCTTTATATTTTGGCTATTACAGTAAGTAAAGAACAGAACTATATTTTATTTTATATCAAGTGTAGCTTTGCGATCCAAGTTATAAAAAAGAATTACATTAAAAATTATTTTATCTACATTCTATAGGTCACTATATTATATTATTAAAAAGATCTGTCGATTGTTCGTAATTACCCTTTGATAATCGAATAAAATTCGCAAATCTTAACGCAAAGCTACAAACGTCTGAAAACTTGCAATTTTTAGAATCATAGTTTTTAGATGCAATAAAGTAATTAACACATTTTTATGCTATATTTTCTGTTTTCCAAACTTAAAATTTCTTATCTTTTTAATTCATTAGGGAGCAGAAATTGTCCAGACGATGAACAGTGATCCAGGATTGGCTGTAGGTGAGTCTGATATATTTGCAAGCATTATAAAAATCTAAAGCTTAGGTTTCAATTCTTGATGTAGGAAAAAGGAAGTTCAAAAGATTATTTATTATCCTACTCTAGTCCGTCTACTCTAGTGCCATAACGTTTGTTTGTTTTGTTGTTATTAAGTAAAAAAAAGAACTGCAATTTGATAATTAATAGCCATACTCACACTGCAGATATTTTTCATACACTACATTGCTTTCAATAATTCGAAACTGAGTGGAATGCAAATATTATCACCCGCATATTATTGATAATCATCGAGATCCCATAGAAAGAACGTGAACTAATAATACACATGTTCACTACTGCTATCGAAATTAATGAACGATGCAAATCTATACAGCAGTGAGTGATGTAGTAGTGAAATAGAAGCGTTGAAACGTTGTTGGTGTCTTCGGGAGTTACGAAACTTCAATCCGACTTGGAAAACCGAAAGAACTGACAGGCTGATATCGTCGATGCCTTCCATATATGGTGAAAACATACCCGGAGCCTTTTCTAAAGGTGTCCGCCGATAACATCGCGGCAAAAACATCGTGGACGTAAACGTCGCGGAGAAAACAACGCAAGGCGAAAACGTCGTGCTACAAAACATCGTGGGAGAAACATCGCTTTCGCGTGGTACAAAACATCGTCGCGAAAATAAAGGGTTCAAAAACATCGCAGTTTAAAAATCGTCGTCGAAAATATCGCGGTAAAATAAAAGTATCTACCATATCATCATGACGATAACCCGCAGACCATGCTTTTTCAGGATGCTTTTAAGTGTAAGTGATATTCCCAATAATGTTTGTGAGCGCAAGGTGTAAAGACGGATAATTTTTTTCACTATTTTATTAAATATAAATTTTGTGAAACGTAAAAGGAAACTTAAGCATAGAAAAAAATGTAACTTATAGATTATACTTTTCATGAATATTACCAGTAAAACTTATAAAAATGATTTATTAATGCCTTTGTAGTTTAACTATGTCGGTTTAAAATTATTAAGTGCTATAAGTTGCATTAATTTTTTATGCTTAAGTTTCCTTTTTATTTTCTCAGCAAAATTATATTTAAAATAAAAAATATAAAGAAAAAATTATCTTCTTTCCATCTTGCGCTCACAAATCATTATGGGAATTACATTTACACTTATTAAAGCATGCCTAAAAAAAGCATGTCTGCGATGTTATCGTCATGCGATGATTTGTAGATACTTATTTTTAACCACGATATTTCGACGACGATGTTTTTAAACTGCGATGTTTTTGAACCGCTTTATTTTCGACGACGATTTTGTACCACGAGTTTGAGAACTGCGATGTTTTCTCCCACGATGTTTTGTAGCACGACGTTTCGCCTTGCGTTTTTTCTCCGCGACATTCGTCTGCGATGTTTTCGGCTGTAACCTTTCTAAAACCTGAAGTTACAAACTTCAGTCATTTTAGAATGCCAATTTTTTTATGCCAGCTTTTTTGCCATTTCTCGAGAATACTGTGCATTTAGGTTCCATGGCTGAGCGCAGCTTGTAGTCAAATGTCTATCGCTATAGTGGCATAAAATGCATCGCCAGTTGACATTTGAGCAATGAAAAAAACATCTTGTGAAGTAACGAATTACGCGGTTAGATGAACCTGTAATTGCACGATTACTGCTAGAGTAAAGTTATTTACCAGAGCATTTTATCCCCATTGCGAAATTTTGCGTTGAAGAAATTCTCGCTGAAGCCGGGAACGTGAAAAATGAGCAATAACTCTCGCCGGGACTCGAGCCTGGAGCTCTCGAATATGTGCCGAGTGTGCTGCCGTTACACTACGAAGGCATGGTGGAAGGAGGGAGAAAATACCTTATATACTCCCCTTTTTTAAAGGGCGACTAAGGATTAGGGGACCGAATCACCAAATACTGCTGGTGACAAATTATCGTCTACTACCTTTCATTTGGGGCGCGACTGTAGATTCATTAGGGTTTTTGATGCTGGAGGCGTGAAAAATGTGCAATACCCTCGCCGGGACTCGAACCCTGGGCCTCTCGTTACTCGTCGAGTGTGCTACCTTTACACCACCACGAAGGCGTGCCAGAAGGAGGAAAAAAAATGTCTCATAAATGTTTGTCGCCGAAGCCCTGAATGCCGAACCTATATTAGACAATTCCAGTCTGCCTAATCTAAGGCCACAGTTCCTAACTAAACCATCTCTCTTTTAGCATGACAAAACTTCTATTCATAAAGCACAAATTATTGTTAAGTGGTTTGAGGAAATGAGGGGGAATGAGCTCAAGGACTTACCTTGCACTCAAAGACTTCTAATTCAGTTAGGATATTATTGAATACATTGAAATTGTGTGTATACACATGCACGTGCTAAAAAGTTATAAAACAAACTAAAAGTGCATGTTCAGAAGTCAAACAACAAAAATCAGCGTCATATTTTCAAAATTTTCACAGGACTAGTTTCGATGGTTTTACCGAACCACCATCCTCAGCTGCAAAACCGCAAATGAAAAAAAAAGTTTTATTATTTTTTTTACATTTTTTTTTATTTGCGGTTTTGCAGCTGACGATGTGGTTCGGTAACCATCGAAACTAGTCCTGAGGAAATTTTGAAAATATAACGCTGATTTTTGTCGTTTGACTTCTAAATTAGTATTTGTTCGGCGTGTTATTGTGTCTTAATTAAAAGTGCATGCTTTGAAACATTTTTTCAAGCCGAATCATCTTATAAGACGCTATTTAGAAAATGTAGCATATATGTAAACTTAACTTATTTTACTTATTTTCAGTGCATTTTTATTTATAGGTTTCCATGCCTTTGGTGGCGTTGATTTTGAAGGCACATTTTTTGTTGACACAGAAATCGATGATGATTACGTAGGATTTGTTTTCAGGTGAGTTCATAATGTTGTTTATATGGATTAAACACATGCTAGTGTAAAATGTAAAACTGAGTGAATAAACCACCTCATATTTGCGTAGCTATGAAATAAAACTATTGTACTTTTGAGGCTGGTTGACGCAAGAGCTTTCTAATCAAAGCAAAAAAATATTTTGCAGGTGAAAATGATGAATCTATATCAGTAGGAATCGAAATTATTAAAATTTTATTTAGAATCTTTGCCAGTACAAGACGCAGATTCTAAACGAATGTGTATCAGTTCTAAATAAAACTGTATGGGTAGATGTTTTCTTAATTTTATGTTCATAATAATGAATATTATAGCTTATATGTATAATATGGTTAAGAAATATATGCTTACGAAAACAGCGAAAACAATGTTATACCGCCATTTCTAGAAAATTTCCCTTTTTTTTTAAATTTTGCTCACGAGAAAAGAATTTAAAAAAAAAACAAAACGATGAAATTTGGATATTTTTTAAAATTTTGTACTTGTACCTTATTGTGCCCAATCTTTTACTTATTTTCGTTGGAAATGATAAATAATTACTCTTAAATATAAGACAAAATTGAAATAATTCCTTTCTGACAAAAACCATGATTTAAGTTTTTAACAATGCAATGATTTAAAGAAATAATAGCGTTACATGTAGGAGAAAATTAATAATTTAGAATGATTCTTACTAGCAATCTGAAATATGCAAAACTGTTTAGTTTGTGCTTAACGTTATGTATAATGAAAAAAGAACTAGCTTTACCTTATGAAGTCCTCCATATAATTATTAGCCCAAAAGGGCGTTAGACCCAAAAGTGCTATTAGTCTCAAAATGGCATTTTGAATAGTTTTTTTTATCCTGCGTTGGTTCACTTCTCAAACTGTTGGCACTAAATATTATCGCCATGTGTTATATTTAAAAAAACTGAACAATAAAGAATCTGAATGAATTCATGAATGTTTCTCGCATTGGAAAAAAACAACGGTACTTAAAGCCCTCCAGTTTTGAATAATGTAGTCCTCCAACCGCACATGGACACTTAGAAGCCCGAATTTTGAATCTGTTTTTGTAAAACTTCAGCAAACTTTTAATTAAGAAACATAATGATTTCAAAGCGAGCAATAGCAACACTTTACGAAAAAAAAATATTTTCACAAAACGTTAGAAAAACGTTCTTTTGTCCGTAATTTAAAATCTGAAAGCTTTCAGATTTTCTTTTTTTTTTTTTTCCTTCTCCTATGAAACAGCTTAAGAGAGTATTCTCATAATGAAATAATATAGTTTAAATTAGCAAAGAATTTTTAAACATTTTAAAAGTATCAAACATCTTTCGCATCATGGAGGAAAATTTACATATTATTTTAACCATGCTATTTTAATTAACAGTATTAATGATTTTCTATAAAATGAGTCACAAAGTTTTTAAATGTGATAACAGATGTCTTCGTTTTAATTGATAAAACTGAATTAATATGCGCCGGTTTATATCAGACTTTAAATACCGAATAATCGTCTTTAAAATTTGAATACAAACTCAATAAAGGATTACAAAATTGGCTGAGTTCTATTTCTCGTTAATTCAGAAGTTACAGAAACAAATTAATTAGTTACGTTAAACCAAGTGTTTTGAGAATCTCTAATTTTCGCATCTAAATACCTTAACTGCAGCTTGAAATTTAAATCTCAGAATTAGCACGTTTCAGCGATAAACCCAGTACTTTCTTTAAATTGCATTTGAGTTCATGATTAAGTTATCCCTGCTAAAGTGGTGTATATTTATTTCAAATATTTTAAAAGATTTAGTTAATGTAGGAAATCCCTAAGTACCATTTTGCAATCATTTCTTTATATATATGAATAACAACATTAAGTTGCTATATACTTTTAATGCAATGAATAATGATACAATGCTATATTTAATATATAAAGGACTATATATTTTATTCAAGTTTATTCTCTCTAATAATTTAATGGCATGAAAAAATGAGCTATGTCATCAGATCCATTCTAGAATATCTGAGTGACTATATTAGATACAAAGGCTATAGATTGTTTTGTTTTTATTAAGTAATGTCTACCGCACTATTCCCTAGGGGGAAGGGAAGTGTAGTGTGTGTTCTGCACGTGTTAATTTCAGGTGCCTGTGGTACACGCTGGCGAAGACGGTATTGCACAGATCCAACGATTACAGCCGCTCTAAAATATTTTTCACAAAGACTCCCCCCTATATAGTTGCCGAACTAAAAAGGTGTGGTATTAGAAGATTCTGCAAATCCAGGAGGCGAATAACCCTACCCCTAAACCTAGTCGCCCTTACTATTAAAAGGGGGTATGAAGGTATTCCCCACCTCCCTAGCTTGTTTCGTGGTGTAGTGATTTCACACGCGGGCGTTATTCCAGGTCCCGTGGTCGATTTCCGGCGAAGCCGGTTGTTTTTTTTATTTTCTTTTTGCCTTAACCTATGACTCTACAAGTTCTATCACCCGTTCTACCGGTGGTTGACGAAATCCCCCTACGTTTTTCATGTCTCGAAAGTGCGACTTAGGGTATATATTAGATTTATATATAGCAATTGTTATATATAAATTAAACATTAGTAAAATCATTGATATAAAATCGGATTTTTTTCTAAAATGATACACGGAATTTTTTTTCGTATTTCGATTCTAGAACTCAAATTATGCCAAAGCGCCAAGTATTGTAAAAATCGCACAGTATTGTAAAAATCGCACGAGTAGTTTTTTAAAAATTAGCTCTTAAATTCTAGCTCCTCAGTGTTAATTGAATTTAGTATATATTTATGAATATTTCTTTTTTTTATTAAACTTATTTGATTCCTTCTTTCACATTTCAAAATATAGGTATAGTCCAAACAAAAGTCGCAGAAATTTTCTGATTTATTTTTAAAATATGTATTTTTTAGTAATCTTTATAAATGTTTCGAAGAAATTTTTGAATTAAAACTTATAAAATTGTTACCGTCACCTGAAAGATGATGTATTTCTAAGCATACTTGCAAAAAATTTGTTTTTTCATTCAAAATTTCCCAACATACACACGAATTTATAAATTGGAGGTTTCTTAAATTTGGCATATTTGTTACAAACGATAACGCCAATTGTGGTTTAAGCACTTTGTTAAAATTATGCGAAAGAATGAGCCCGGCACCTTTTTTTCCGCTTGTGCGCAATGAAATGGAAAGTAAAATAGCTTCTGTAATTTATGAATTTCGCCAAGTGAATTAAAACTGATAAAAGTGCACCAAGATATTTTTTTTAATTTCTCGGTACGTTTTTCGCCATGATTAACATAATTGAATATTTAGATATAATTTGAGCCGTAGTAGAATTTAAATATGGGAAAAATTAGTATGTAATTTTTTAAAAAAAATCCGATTTTGTGTCAAAACACCTGTGTTAGAACAACGCTAAATTTAAATCGAATAGATATCCCAAGTTGAGTTTTTGAGATATGAAAAACACAAAAACAATTTTCGTCAGTCGACTCAATAGAACGAGAGATATAGAACCTTTTAGCCCAAAGGGGTTTGCCCAGGAGGGCTATTAATTTCGTTTTTGCATTTTGCATTGTTTCACTATAAACGGCATTTCACTTTTCGAATTGTTCCCACCAAATATTAGAGCCCTGAATTATAATTAAGGAAATTAAATGGTGCCTGAATGTATGTATGTTTCTCGCACTGTGAAAAAACAACGGTACATACATACATCAAATTTTGAATAACGTAGCATCCACTCGAATATGGGAATTTGGAAGCCCAAATTTGGAATTTGTTTTATTATCTATTTCATATTTTGTAAAACTTTAACGAATTTTTTGTTAACAAACTCAACGATTTCAAAGCGAGCAATGGCAACACTGTACAGGAAAAAAAAAAAAAAAAAAAAAAAAAAAAAAAAAACATTTTTATGTCCAACACGCGAGACTGTGTATAGGAATTTCTAAAGATATCCACTTTTTAAATTGCTTTGGGATATTGATTTTGAACTGAATTTTGTGGTTTAAGTGCGAAGAATATGATATTTAATAAATGAAGATAACTCACAAAACGTTAAAAAAACAACCCTCTGGCGCGTATGTAAATCTGAAGCTTTCAGATTTTTATTCTGACGAAGTAAAAAGAATTTGTAACGCGAAAGTTTCGGCAACTATTTCAACGAAATATCATTTGACGTATCGAAGCAATTAACAATGTTTTTGCTATATCTTAGTAGACAGAATTAAAGCTTTTCTCAAAAAAAAAAAAAAAAAAAAAAAAAAAAAAAAAAAAAAAAAAAAAAATTATAAACTGCTAAATAATTTGAAGGATTTCGTGCGTTGCCGAGTCGTCTATCTGATAACTCAAAACGAATAGCTTAGAACTTCAAATTTGTATATAGGATGCTATAAATTATGTGCACCTGTTTTGGTGCAATCGGCCGCCAAACGATATAAATATATTATATATATCCACTCTATTACCCGGCTCAGTGATCTCAGTTTCTTTATCTTATATGTTTGTAAATTGTACATTTTTTGCTTTAAAAAAATGAATTATGTTTTTCTTATCTACCGGATAAGGTTTTATGTCTTTCGTAAATCTGGAAGCAATATTTGTACAATTTCAACAATTTAAAAGCTGTTTAAAGTGCAGTTAAGTTTTAAATAACATGGCGGACATATTGTTTACATTTGAAACAGCAGAATTGTAGATTTGTTGCAATCTAGAAAGACTAAGATTCGGAAACACAAAAAAAACGCCTTCATTTATTATTGCGAATTAAATCATGCTAATCCTTTCTGGAATTTTTTCGAGGAAATAAGTGTTTAAGGTTTACTTCGTAATTTTTAATGCAGATATTTTGAGTTTTTATGTATTTTTGCCTTGTCGCGAAGTGAGAACTGAATTAATTGAATGAGAAATACTAAATCGTGTGTGAAAAACTGTTTCTTTTTCTGTTTTGTTTGCTTAATTTCTTTCATACATCGTTTTAGC